AAGAGAAAGCCTCCCTGGGAGCCAAGGAGCTTTGGTAGCATAGTGGTTACGAATCGGGCTGCGTACCGGAAGGTCAGCAGTTCGAAACTACCAGCTGCTCTGCGGGAAAGGGAAAAAGATGAGGCGATCTGCTCCTGCGATCTGCTCCCGTAAAGATTTACAGCCTCGGAAACCCTATTCAGGGTCGCTATGGTTCGAAACCGACTCGACGGCACTTCACAACAACCACCACCCTGGGAGCCAGCACCCGGAACTGTAAGAGTCAGTGCCTGTCTGAGCAGCACTAGATGACCATGATGCCAGGACTGGTGGCGGAGCCATCGTCAGTTCCCAGGCCGGTCCCACCCAGTGAGAATGTGCCCGCAGACAGCTTTGAAATCTCTCAGGATAGTAGCTGAAGGAAACGTCTGTAAGGCCTTGCTCACCCCAAACCCATTGCTCTGGTGTTCTGTCTGCTTAAAGTGCCTCGCAGAGTGGAGGTGCACGCCCCGTAGACTGCCCTCTTGATGGAAGCAGCCCACCACATCCTCCTTCGGGCGCTGGTGCCTTTGAACTACTAACTTGTGGGTTCCCAGCCAAGCGCGTAAGCACTGTGACACTGTGCTTTCTCTCAGAGGTTGCAAAATCACTCTCCCGTTTGCTTCTCCTCCCTAATCCCACGGGATCACCATGAGCTGCTGACTACAGCGATGCTGTCCGGTGATACTGCTCCCTCTGGTTCCTCAGAATTCCCACCGTGATGCTGAATGATATTTTATAAACTTCTAACAACACACTAGATCTCCTTTTATTGTCACATGTCCTCAGAGAATTGAGTCTTATAGCTGACCCAGGCAAGCCCAGGGCCACAGGGAAGGTGGAGTTCGGAGTGCTCAGTCAGAACACACTGCCTGCCGTTCACCGTCTGGACAGAGCTGCTTCTCTCTTAGCTGGGGGCACTGGGGTCTGCGGACGGGGCCTCTCTCTGCCACCTCTGTTCGCCTCATGAGGGAAAGGGAGTGGGTGGGGCTTGTCTTGGTGTTACCTCAGAGCCTTCTTGGAGGTCCCCCTGGGGGTACTCACCCAGCCGGAGGCTCAGCTGGTTTCTTGTCTGGTTCTGAGGAGAAAGAACTACGGGCCTGTGGGCCCACGCCTGCTGTTCCTGCTCTTGTCAAACACATGTGAGGAAAGGACACATGTCTGTGAGGACACGTTAGCAGGGTGCATGTGTGTCTCTGAGCACATGTGAGAGCAGAAGTGTGTGTGTCCATGAACATACATGTGAGATGGAGCATACATGCCCACACGTGTGAGGACACGCCTATCTCAGCTGCCTGGATCTTCTCCTGCTGGTCTGTCTTGGTGACCTCGGTGCTCCCTCTGCTGTATGAGCTTTCTGAGCTGCTGTAACAAATGACCAGTCCAGTGACTGGAAACAACACACACTTATTGTCGCTTTGACACTCACAGGTGAGACTTCATTTCTTGGGGCTACAATCAGGACCGTTTCCTTCTGAAGCTTGTCTTAGTCCTCTCATGTTGCTATCACAGAAATACCACAAGTGGACGGCTTTAACAACCAGAAATGCATTCTCCCACAGTGTAGGGGTTAGAGGTCAGAATCCAGAGCACCTGTCCCCTTTCAGCATCTGTAGACCCAGCCTTCCTTGGCCGTCTCCATGTGTCTTGGCCTCGATCTTCCCCTGGATCTAGGACCCTCACAGTGCAGGGACCCCAAGTCCAAAGCACACACTCCACTCTTGGTCCTTGTTTCTGGTGGTAGTAGGTTCCTGTGAGCACTGCTGACTTCTTTCTGCTTTTGTGTCTCAAAAAGAATCACCTTGCGGTACCACTTAATCCTGTAGCTTGCAGCTGATCTCAGGACCGTCACAGAAGTGAGGATGCACGGCGGGTAGCAGAATGACATCGGATCATGGCTGATCGCCTCACAGGGGTTTGTGTTGGATTTCGTCTCAGCATGGAGGTGCTAACTACTCCTGGTGTGGTGTTGTGGGTTAATGTGCTAGACTGCAAGGTCATTTGACCATAGCATCGGTGGTTCAAGCTCCCCAGCTGTTCCTAGGAAACCCTTCACAGGGTCACTATGGGTGAAGTGCTGAAAGTGAAGAGGACTTAAAATACTTACTGATGAAGATCCAAGACCACAGCCTTT